ATTCAAAATACCCCTAATCTCCACAACCCCTAAATCACTAAGATAATTAATTTTGAAAAATAAACACAACAAAATGACTTGATCTTTGTTCTCCACTATTGTTTATGATCCAAAAAACTCACCATAAAAATTTCAAAGCATTTTGAGTTCTTTGGTAACTTAAGTTGATTTTTAAAAGATAAATAACATTTTTGGCACTTAAATGATTTTTTAAAATCAAAATATAACTTCAAAATTCATAAAACTTGGTTTTTATTGTTCTCTATGATCAGGGGTATTTTCTAAAAATAAAATGGAGTTTAAAATAAAAACTTGATTTTTAACCTATTTAATTATTTAAATGATTAAAAATTCATAAAAATCACAAAAATAATAAAATTCATAAAAATATTCTAAATTGCTTCCTAAGCACTTAGAAACAATTAGAATATTTTTCCTGATTTTTTAAATAAAGATAGTGAATTTTAAAGCTTAAAATAATTTTTAAAGGCTAAAAATGGGTTTTCACTAAAAATAATTTCAATAAATCAAATAAAACACAAAAGAATATAAAATTTTCTCCTCTGAGTTCTCTGACCTCAGGAAGATTTTTCAAAAATATAAAATTTAATTTTCCCCATTTAAAATATTTTACATTTAATAAATACCCTAGGACTTAAATAAATTCTTAAAATTCAATAAAATTCAAAAAATCATGAAATTTAGTCCAAAGGCTTCTCTGTTCTAAGTCTACATCTAATAAAAATTTCAAGGGATTAGGATTTACCTTGGTCAAGTTAGGAATTTTCTTTGAAAAATCTTATTTTTACATGAAAATAATTTATATAAATTAAATTAAATTTTGAAAAATCACATTTTCTACTTTGATGTCTCAATTGACCCATGAATGAGGTAGGATAAAAATTTCAAAGTCATTTGAATTGAATTTGACAAATTATGAAGTGTTAGAGCCTTAGGGGCAAATGTGTAATTTTGGAAATTTATTCTTAACTAACATTTAGGCTTAATTTAAAGAGGGAAATGGGTAACCTCTGATCTTAATTTGGATGTTTGAAATATAAGGGGTTAATTGATAGAAACCAACCTCACTTTCCCAATTGAAAAGATAGGCTAATAAATTTCTAAATTATTAAAATTTGGAAGTTTATTAAAATAAAATGAACC